TCGTCTATTTCTGGCCCCCGCACAACGGGAACCCGCACGACCTGCTGGACATCAAGCAGATGAGGGACCGCAGCAGCCGCCCGGTAGTCAAGAAAATTAAGCCAGGTCGGTGCTGCCTCGCTCTGCTCCCGCCGCCCGGGACGGCCACCGCGGGGCCGCCTGCATCCCCGCTCCCGTCCCCGCACAGGCATCTCGGTGGCGGCTGCAGCCCCGGAGCAAGCTACTCCTTACCTGCGCCCTCTGCTGCAGTTCGCGGCAGCCCACGTCCCCGCTCAGAAGCACAAGGAAACTCCGCTCTACGTCCTGTGCACGGCGGGCATGCGGCTGCTGCCCGAGAGGTGAGGTCCTGGGGGAAACGAGGGACGTGCTGGGTGGGGTCCCTCAGCCACAGGAGGCAGGAAGACGGTTACCTTGTCCAAAGCCTGATGGGGGAATTAGGAATCCAGGGGGGAATTTGGGAAAGGAAAGGGCATGTAGCTGGGAGTGAGTGCGGAGGGCTGTGGAAGGAGGGTTAGAGCGCACTGGGAGGGGGCTGAGAGGAGACACTTTTTAGTGAAGTCTTGAACGAATAGATCTGGTTTCTTGTCTCCAAAGTGCCCTGGGTGCAGCGGCAGCACTCACGGGGCTGGATGTGGGGTGTGTTGCAGTGGAACTCCCACTGTTTCTTATGCTCCCCCAAGAAGCATCATTGGTGGAGTTCCTGTAGCATCTGTCCCTCTCCTGTACCCTTGCAGGCAGCAAGCTGCAATCCTGGAGGACTTAGTGAGAAACGTGCCTCTGGAGTTTGATTTCCTCTTCTCCAAATCACATGCAGAAGTGATCTCAGGGAAACAGGAAGGTAGGAGCCACTGCAAAGCACTGCTTGGTTGCCTTTAGTAGATTGCTGTTAATTACTCTTTCTCTTTTGTGCAGGTGTCTACGCATGGATTGGTATCAACTTTGTCCTGGGCCGGTTTGATCATGAGGAGGGTGAGTCTGGCTGATTGTAGAGCAGCTGGGAGGGTCTGAGCAGAGTCCTGCTGGAGGTCACCCCAGCACTGGGGCTAAGAGCAAGCTCTGGCCAGGCAGTGCCTGACCTCAGCCAGAGAAACTCCTTAGGATTTGGGGGCACCTCCCCTGGTTACAGGAACAAGTCCCTGTGTGTTTCTGTAGTGGCTTCCAGCGGTGGATGCTTTGGGGGAACCTACAGATCTGGGGGGGCGGCCAGCCCCAAGTTCCATAGCCCACTGCCCTGTGAATGATCCTGGGGGGCTGCCTGCAGGGGTGGAGGAGCCCCTGGCTGACACACTGCTGTGGGTTGCAGAGGAGGACGCGATGATCACTGTGGCAGTGGGAGACCAAGGAGAGTCCCTGGTTCGGAAACGAACAGTGGGGATCTTGGACATGGGGGGGGCTTCCCTGCAGATCGCCTACGAAGTGCCTGACTCTGGAGCCTCCTCCTCCCCACAGCAGGTGTGTATCTAGCCAGCTGGCCCCAAGAGCAACCCGTGCCTTCCCTGGGCTGCTGTTGATCACAGACCTCTGCATCCCCAGGAGGAGGCTGCTAAGAGCTTGCTGGCAGAGTTCAACCTGGGCTGCGACGTGCAGCACGCTGGCCACATGTACCGTGTCTACGTCAACACCTTCCTGGGCTTTGGGGGCAATTTTGCCCGCCAGCGCTATGAGGACCTTGTGCTGAACCAGACTTATGTGCACAACCGGTATTGCTGCCTCACCTAGTGGTGCCCTGTCTGGGGCATTGCAAAAATGGGGTGCTGGTTCCTTCATGCTGCCCTCTCCCCATTGGATTTGCCCCAAGAGTCACCTGTGGTGATAACAGCTCCCACAGCCATGCTGGCGTCAGCCTTGTGGCAGCAGCAGGTGCCCTGGCTGGCTCACATTGCACAGGTGCTGCTTTCTCTAAGCCCTGCATACGTTATCAGTGCCATAGCTCACTGCCTTCCTCCTCCACCCATAAGGGCAGGCTGTGGGGAGGCCCCTCCAGTGGCATTTGGCTTTTCTTGCTCTGACTTCCCCTTCTTCTCTGCCACCAATTCACTCCAGCACATCTTTCCATCGCATCCCCACCTTGAGCTCTCTGCCTCCTGTTTCTCCTTCCCCTCCCAGAATGCTACGTGAAGCTGTTGCCAGAGGCGAAGAGGCTTGGTGCCCAGGTACTCCGGTGCCGGGAGCAAACTCTGCCTCCAGATCCCCAGGGGCTGTGCAGGGGTGTGGATCCCCATGAATTTGGGGTGGTGGCCCTGCCTTGTTGCACCCTGCAGGTGCTCAGGGCATGTGGCCTCAGGTCAGCCTGACAGACCTGGCTTTGGCAGGAGGTGGCAAGGCGGATGCCAGCACCACGGGGTACAAAGGGACATGGCCTGATCTGCTGCAGGGGGTATATGGATGTGGCACAGCACTAGACTAGGCTTTTGGTGATGGTAGAAGACGCCCTGTGCAATTGCCTTTCCTTCCTGGCTTGTTTTCCAGCCTGCACAGCCAGCAGATGGGGCTGAGCCCTGAGACGCCCTTCTTGGACCCCTGTCTGCCTGTGGGGTTGGAGGACACAGTGGCTAGGGGCAGCCAGACCCTGTACGTGCGG